CCGGGACGGGGGCTGCAGGGGGCCTGAGGCGGTGGGATTCTGCACTCCGGGGACGGAGCGTGAGGCGGAGCCACGCCTGCGCTGGCGGGACGAGGTGCGGGACCTTCGTGAGGACTCTGGACGCCAAGGGGACTTTGGCCGAAAGAGGGGCCGGATCTCCATTTGGGATTTAAAAGTTTCCCGAAGGTGGTTTAGAGGGAGAGCAGACCGAGGGCAATGAAGAGGACATTGAGGTCCTGGGAGGTTGGATCTTAGTTCAGGCAGCACAGTTGGCAAGAGGGGACACAGCACTGAGGCACAGCTCTCAGCCGCGTGAGGTCGCCTGAGGTACGGGTGACGTGAGCCCAGCGAACCCTGCCGTGGACCCGTCCCTTCATTGCCAGCCTCTCTACACGGTTTCCCATTGCGGCAGAGGTGCTGTGGAACTTACACAGGTTGGTGGGGCGTGTCTCAGCCGCCCACCAGGCTGGTGGCCCTGGCCACCACCCGCATATTCTCTGGATTATGCTGTCCTGGGGCGCTTAAGGGCCGTTCCCCCAGGCCTGGGTCTGGGGGCCCTAGGGAAATCCCAAACAGAGGGTCCTAAGTCCATCTCAGGCTTTATATAGAAATGATCCCCGGATGCACTAGGAACTTGTTCCAAGATACGCATATGTTTACAGGTGACTGAGTGTTCAGAAAATCACAGGCGTCCTTTTAGGTAGGAACAAAGAGCAGGGGGCAGGAGTCAAGACTGGAATGACTTTAGAGGTTGGTGTGTGTTCTGGAGGTGATGGGAGGTGTGCCTCAGAGGGAGAAAGTGATCTTAAGGTCTTAGCAGACTCGGGCTGGCTGCCGAGTGTAGAACAGACAGCGAGACAGAGGGAGGAGGAAGGAGGAAGGAGGATCAGGCTGCAGGCTGCTGCCGAAGTCCTGGTGAGAGTTAATGGACTAGAGGTGTGGCTTAGGAAAAGTGGTTGGATTCTGGATGCGTGTTTTAAATGGGCAACTAGGGGGCGTCTGCCTTGACTCAGGTCATGATCCCAGGGTGCTGGGATGGAGCCCTGCATCCGGCTCCCTGCTGGGCGGGAAGCCTGCTTCTCCCTCTTCTACTCCCCCTGCTTGTGTTTCCTCTCTTCGCTGTGTCTCTCTCTGTCAAATAAATAAAATCTTTTTAAAAAAAGATAAGTAAATGGGCAACTAAATTCTCTGATGAGGGAGGAGTGAATACAGGACTCAGGGATGACTCCAGTGTTTTAGGTCTTAGCAGCTGTAGGACTGGAAGGTCCATCATCTAAGATGAAGAATGTGGTAGTAATATTCACTATGGGGAAGGGGTGTTAGGAGCTTTGATTTAGGTATATTGAGAGTTTGGGGTGTTTCAGAGACGACTGAATTGATGCATGATGTGGGCAGTTGTATACATAGTGTGGGAATCTGAGGAAGGTTGAGGTTGGAGGATTCAGGATGTTCCCGATCAGGAGAGGTAATCTTCAGGTTATTATTATAAAGCTAATAGGGGACCAGGCAGGGGAGGATGGGGACTGTGGACTGGGTCTCTTGTCTGGGTACCTGGCTGATGGGTAGAAGCTTCACAAACACAAATGAAGCAGGTACATGGCCCTGAAAGGAGTGTGTGTCAGGGACAGGTCTGGCAGGTGGCCAAGCTTCCAACGCAAGAGTGGATGCTAATGGGGTAGACACAGAGGCAAGGGACAACCAAGGCGAGATGTCATGCGGACCAGAGTGGGTCTCTGCACCGCTCTGTGCACTCACCAGGATTTTGTGAGGGCTTTGTTGGGGCCTGGGCTGTTTCGTTCAGCCAGGAAGATAAGGTCAAGGGCAAATGTGGTCATTTGTGAGAGTCATTAAGGCCTGGGGTGAACTATCAGTGGAGCTGGGCTTTGAATGAGGGTTAGGTGGGCAGAGGAAGATTGTGACTGCTTTGGGGACGGCAGTGCAGTACCTCGTGGAATAGGGCCGTGGGTGTCTGAGATCCATACGTCTGAAGCAAGGAACAGACCCGAGCAGTGAAGGCTTCATAGGAGGATTTGGGGCTGTGATGGCTTGTGGGAGTCTTGGGAAGTCAATGGTCACATTCAATCCCATTTGAATTTGCAGAGCCTCCTGTGGATGCTGTCGTCAGGTTGTGGTGCAAGGTCTAAAACGAAGACCCAATAATATGTGTGGCACTGATGTCTGAAAACCCTGAGGGGCTTAGGTGGCCAGAGTGCTGCTTCTCCCCACTCTTCCCTCAGAACTAAGATCTAACCAAATACTGTTTTTATCAAGGGGCTCAGGGGCCTATCCCTCTTTAGTTGGTTTCAGCTCCTTACCTGCCTATGGAGTTACTCAGATAAGTCAGTGGTATCTTCCCAGGGGAAACAGGTACCTCTTTGTGTCGGTATTACAAAGCTTGGATCTCACAACCACCAGCTGTTAACTCTTTCCCAGACTGCCACCCCGTGTGGCCCAGTGTGGCGTGTGGTGTCCTTCTCTCCCACACTGTGAATATATATGGTTAGAAAAGTGCTCTCGATCTCAGGTGGCCAGTGTTCGGTGTTCTGTGTTTGGCCATCCCTGTCACCCTAGCACACAGTCCCTTCTTCACCGTGGGGTGAAGAGGAGGTGATTGAAATAAAGTCATCTATAACTGTAAGGCCAGAGAGTTGCCTAAAGTCTGCAGGGCAATAAGCTGGTGGCAGCCACGGGCAGGTGACAGTGTCTGCAACGTGGGGATGTGCCATCTAAGGAATGACGTATACTTGTGGAGGGAGTGTGCCTGATGCCCCAGGGCCCTGGACTTGAGAGCTGGGTGGCTTGTCCATACTAGGTGAATTGTGTAGCAGAAATGGGTGAATGCCTCTGTGCCAGACCCTCGTTTGGTACCTTGTTATCCACCTGCCTCGTCTTTCTGATGGGTGGTGCCCGTGATCAGTGGGCCTGTGAGGAGACAGTGGCACCACTGGTGCTAGGGCCTGGTTTCTCTTCTGTGTTGGATGCTTAGGAAAGGATGGGTGAGGGGTAGATGTGGAGGGGTTGGATTGTCACCTTTGAGGGAGAGGCTGTTTATGGTTTCATCTGTCTCCATCTTGCCAGGGTATTGTGACCTTTGAGGACATTGCCGTGTCCTTCTCCTGGGAGGAATGGGATCTTCTTGATGAGGCTCAGAGACACCTGTACCAGGATGTGATGCTGGAGAACTTGGCGCTTATAACCTCCCTGGGTAAGGTCCTCACACCTGCCTCTGTCCCCTGAGCTAGTCTTTCCGTTTCCCTTTTTCCCCAAGGGCTGGTCTGTCCTCCCATCAGGATTGTGGTCTCTGCTTCCTTCTCCACTTCCTTGAATGGCAGTGTTGTTGGCTGGGCTGAGGTATGTGCACTGCCTACTCCTTGAGTAGTTCCAACACCTGCGACTCCTAAGCCTCCCAGGGAAGGAACCAGGGTCAGGAGTGTTCCAGTCAGCCCAGTGGATCCTACTTTGCTGCCCTCTCTCTGGCAGGTGACTTCCAGTTACAAAGCACCCGAGTATCCTAGGTTCCACTTTCTTCCTCCAGCTGACATTTCCTTATTCCTTCTTGGGCCAGAAATTGCCGTCACTGACCATCACGGTTATGTAGACCACCGTCTGTTCTTGCAAGATCCTCCTTGGAAGTTGTCTTTATAATAGTTTTCTTTCCTGTGTGCTGCATGTGCTGAGCTGTTCTTGGCCAGTGCTGGCCCCTTATCTCTCCCGTCTTCCCCTTATTAGCACCTGGATCATCCATGGGCACCATAGCTGCTCGTCTCGGGGTTGTGGTGGAGAGTCCGTTGTGGTTCACAGCCCAGCTCTGAACAGTGACACCTAGGGGAGAGCAAGATGTCAGGGCTGTGTGCACATCATACCAGAAACTTCCTATTTGTGAATGGTCTTTTGTTGGTAATGACCGTGGCCCCCAGACTTCATACCTGCCTTTCCTTCCCCGGTCTTCACACTCAGGTGACTGGTCAACTGCTGGTCATCACTTGTACTCTTACTTCCCGCCCAGGGCTAATCCGCACCTCTCTGAACTGCACATCTTGACCATTTTAATCACTGCTTCATGTGGGGACTCTCCTCATTGGCTCCTGTGTGTTGTGTCATGAGGTGCACACAGATTCTTGCACACACAGTTTCTCTTTCACTGTCGAATTTTCCTGAGCCTGAACACACCCTTCTATGTGACAGACTATATCCGGTTGAAAGTTATGTGTAGACCTTGTCTCTCCTCAGTGTGTTTATTTCACCTCACAAGTGCCCCTGAGCCCGCATTTTGTGATCATTAGTGGCCCAGTACAGCTAAGCATCTCAGCCTCAGTCTGAACTCAAACCTCCTATCCTATAAACAATCTCATGGACTTGTTTCTGGGTTTGTTAGACACACCTGGGTAGTAGCTGCCTACCCACGAATGTCACCGTGCACTTCACCAGCATTTCCTGCTTTCAGGTTGTTGGCATGGAGCAGAGGATGAGGAGGCACGTTCTGAGCAGAGCATTACTGTAGAAAGAGTGTCACAGGTCAGGACTCCCAAGACAGGTCTTTTTCCCCAGAAGGCCAACCCCTGTGAGGTGTGTGATCTGGTCTTGAAAGACAATTTTCATGCTGCTGAACACCAGGAAACACAATTCAGTGAGAAACTGTACACTGGTGGGACACATGGGAAAAGACTTTATTTCGGTGAAAACCTTCAGCAGCAGCTCAAGCAGCACACGAGCGAAAAGCCCTTCGGAAATCACATAAGCAGAGCTTCAGTGGTCAAGAACTGCAGCTTGCAGGTGTCAGGGAAGCCCTTTATCTGCGGGGAGATTGGGAAGGACTTCTTGGCCACCTCAGGAACCCTCCAGCAACAGGCCACACGTTCTGGAGAGAAGTCAAACAATGGAACTGAATGTGGAGCGGCCTTCCACATGGGAAAAACTCAACACCACTGGGGAGACAGCACAGAAGCTTTCAGCCACAAGCATACATTCGTTCAACACCAGAGGGTTCGCCCTCGAGAAAGATGTTATATGTGCAGTGAATGTGGGAAATCTTTTAGCCATAACTCTAGCCTTATTAAACACCAGAGAGTTCACACAGGAGAAAGACCTTATGAGTGTGGGGAATGTGGAAAATCCTTTAGCCAGAGCTCCAACCTCTTTCAGCATCGGAGAGTTCATACTGGAGAAAGGCCTTATGAGTGCAGTGAATGTGGGAAATCTTTCAGCCAAAGCTACAGCCTCAATAACCATCGGAAGGTTCACACTGGAGAAAGGCCATTTGAGTGTGGAGAATGTGGCAAATCCTTCAGTCAAAGATCCAACCTCATTCAACATCAGAGAATTCACACTGGAGAAAAGCCCTATGAGTGCAGTGAATGTGGGAAGTCCTTTAATCAAAGCTCTGCGCTCCTGCAGCACCATACCGTTCATACTGGAGAACGGCCCTATGAGTGCAGTGAATGTGGGAAATCCTTTACCTACAATTCCAGTCTTTTAAAACACCAGAAAGTCCACACGGGATCAAAGCCTTACGAGTGCAGTGAATGTAGGAAATCTTTTAGCCAGAATTGCAGTCTTGTTCTCCATCTGAGAGTTCACACTGGAGAAAGGCCTTATGAGTGCAGCAAATGTGGAAAATCTTTTAGCCAAAGCTCTGCACTCCTTAAGCACCAGAGAGTTCACACTGGAGAAAGGCCATATGAGTGCAGTGAGTGTGGGAAGTCCTTTAGGCGAAGCTCCAACTTCAGTGACCATCGGAGAGTTCACACTGGAGAAAGGCCGTATAAGTGTAACCAATGTGGGAAATCCTTCAGTAAGAGCTCTGGCCTCACTCGACACCAGAGAGTTCATAGTGGATTGGGCATTATAAATATGAGTGAGAAAGCCATTAGCCGAAGCCCTTACCTCATTGATTACCACACAGTTCACATGGGAAGTACAACTTAGATATGTACAACATATATTTCCTTGTTCAGTATAACAACATCGAGGAGATCTCTTTTGAGGGTACCATCTGCCTGAATTGAGCCTCATACATCCAGACATCAAAATAAATTCCAGGTATGTAGAACTGTGTTGCATGTTTCAGCTCAGACCCATGTGAGTTTTTATTATGTTGATTCTGTAGCAGCAGCCGTTCACCTCTCCCCTGCGGGTGCCCGCATTTGTGTCATTTAGCCACAGTGACGTGTTCAGCAAAGTAAACCTTAGTGTTTTCCCATTCCCTGGGTAAATGTGAAAAGCCAGGGTACTCATTCTTTTCTCTCTGATTAGTTAGGGCATGGATGCCTCCGTTGTGTTCCAGAGGACTCCATCTGCTGGTGGCCTGAAAAGTCAGCTTTTTTAGGGATATTATTGGTCTGATGACTCTTGTGATGAAATTTGCAGCCTCCAACTCACCAACCAAGGAACAGCCTTCCTGTGTATTCTGGTTTATGTTATAATAAAGGCCTTGTTGGTGTAAGACAACTTTATCTTAAGGATTAGATTCACTTCATGGGGTGGTTTCAGAATGACAGGAGAAACAGGTGCTATGGTTGCCCCAATCTTTGTGTGCATCAAGGGGATGGAAGGATGGTAGTTTTCTCTCTAATTTGGCCCTTGTTTGCATTGTTGCCCAAGGCTTCTAAGAAGATTCTATAAGGTTTTGTGGTTAGATTGTAGCCTGGATGCAGGATGTTTCGTGGTGTCAGCACTTGCCCTGAAAAGAGGGCAGTTGTAACAACCTCTGATACTTCTGGGGACAACATAGAATTGTTCTCTTGTTTGCAGGGGATACTGCATTGTGCCCAGCACTGGTGCAGGGAATGTTCCTAGGCCCTGCAAAGGAGTGATGTACTCTGATGCCCAGAATTCTGTGTGGTAGTGTCACTGGCTGAAAAATGATAGGGGGATCATAACTGTACACAAATGGTGGATTAACAGAGAGGCCAAGAGAACACGACAAACTGGTTAGAATGTGCCTCTTTTAAAGGCTGCCTGCTGTTGTTCGGTCAGTATGGCTGTGAAGGATGAGCCAGTACAGAAATTCTCAGATCCTTCTGAACTATGAATCTTGTGTAGCTGAGGGCCTTAGAAAAATCATCTAATGGGGGGCTCCTGGGTGGCTCAGTTGGTTAAGTGTCCGATTCTTGGTTTCGACTCAGGTGAGGATCTCAGGGTTATAAGATCAGGTCCTGGGTACAGATCAAGCCTCAGTGCGGAGCCTGCTTGGGATCCTCTCCCCTCTCCCTGTGCGTCCCCACACATCCACATTCTCTCACTTGCACGCCCTCTCTCTAGAAAGAAGTCTAACAGTTTTACAGATTCCTGTAGCTTCTCTGCAATGTGCACCTTAAGGTCATTGCAACACAAGAAGGAAAACAAAGATAGAAGGAAGGAGGATCTCAGTCCAGCAGTGCAGGCTTTACACAGCTTGCTTTCCCGATGACTCAGGTGGACATGGCTTTCGTTGCTTTCCTGTATTTGCTGCCACTGAGGCAAGGTGCTGATCCCAGGGCATTACAAGGGATATGGTGGGGTTTGCCAAACTTTTTTTTGAAAACTTTTTTTATATTGTAATGCCTTTTCAGAATAGTTAATAAATAATAAATTGTCCATATTTACACTGTTTCATTTGATTATTTTTGACATTCATATAAACCCATGAAACCATCATCACAATCATAGTAGTGTGCGTATCCATCACCCCGTATTCATTCGTGCCCTTTAATTATTATGTCTTTCTCTCTGCCCTCCAGGCAAACATTGATTCACTTTCTTCTACAATAGATTAATATGTATTTTCTGCAATTTTACATGATTGAAAATAAAATGTTTTGGGTTTTTTTCCCCTATGTGTCCTTATGTGGTATATTATTTATTTTGAGATTTGTCAATGGACCTGTGTATTTAGTTCATTCTTTTGATATTGTCAAGAAATGTAATGTTCTGTGGATTAACCACTATTTGTTTATTTACTCGTCTTTTTCAGATATTTGAGTTGTTTCTGGTTTGGGGCATTATCAAACAGTTATTATAGATATTTGATTCTTAAATTTACGATTCTTTATATGGATATGTTTCATTTCTCTTGTGTTAATACCTCAGAGCACAATGCCTGAGTTGCAGGGCTGCAATTTTGGGACTGTTTAAATGAGGTCATTCTCATGAGAACTCTTACCTGATAGCTCCCTGTGAAAAGATGTGTTAGTTATGGGCTGAATTGTATGTTCCCAAAATGATATGTTGAAGTCCTAATCTCCAGTACCTCAGAATATCACTGAGTTTGGAAATAGGGTTTTTAAAAAGGTAAAATAAAGGCGATACTGTGGACACTAATCCACTGTGACTAGTGTCATTGAGAGGAAATTGGTACGGAGACAGACAGAGGGAAGATCATGTGAAGACAAGAAGAAAATGCCCACCCACAAGCCAAGGAGAGAAGTGTCAGGAGAATTCAGTGCTGCTGACACCCTGATCTCTCATATCTAGCCTCCAAATTTGTGAGAAAATACACTTCTGTTGTTTAAGCCACCCAGTCTGAAGTAATGTGTTATGGTGGCCTTAGCAAATCTTAGAGGGGCCATCAGCATCTGGGAAGGAGAGGGTCTGCAGGGCACCCTAGGGTCAGAGGAAGGAGGTGATTACAATCTGTAGAGTAGTTGGGACCAGAAGGAGAGATGGGCTTGGAATTGATTCCTCCATCCCCACCTTTCACTGGAGGTCACAAAGAGAAATTTGCCGTCCAGCCATGTAAAATGGAGATCATCACCAGAACCGCCTCTGGGGCTATTTGAGGATGTAAAGAGCTCATGGCCCAGGAAGGGGGCTCAGATGGAGAACTTTTAAGAGTGACAGTTGTCCTAAGGGGTGGAGAGCGGGATCAGCAGTGCCTTTGGAAAGGGGGGCAAAAGACCACTGGGGTGAATATTGGGGTGTTTATACCTGACAGGCCTTGCAGGGGCTGAGGTTGAAGTGAGGGGGCGGGTAAGGTTCCCACCTGGCTCTTCCTGAAGCTCTGATCCCTACTGAACAGTCCCAAGCCAGTGGGGGACAAGTAGGGACTGCACGGCTTGGACCATGCACACATCACCATGGGGCCCTGGATAAGTGGTGGCCACACCTCAAGGGCCCCTTGAACACCTTCAGATGGATTTTATCCAGCTTCTACCCTCCATGGGACTTGAATATGTTTTACTTATTGTATGTCCATTTGCAGAGTGGGTTAAAGCATTTCTTAGCTGAAAAGCTGCGGCTGTTATAGTCACTGAAAAGCTGATTGATTTTGTTTCCAACCCTGTGTCATCCCACTGTTTACATCTACATTAAGTGGTCATGTCACACTTTGTATAAACTCTATTTTATCATTCAACAATCCTCTAGGAAAGTTGAACTGACCACTGCCATTGTTAACATCAGCAGAACTTTCAGAAACCTTTGAGCTCCCCTGGCCAAAGGTATTCTCTCTAGCCCTTATGGCCATGTCATCCACTCACTCATTTATCCCCCTATGAATTACTAAGTGGAAGACTCATGATGTGTCTAGGGGTTTCATTTCCAGTACTAGTCCTGCTCTGCTATATGCAGACATAGCAAATGTTATCAGGGACTCATGTACCATACCCAGTCCTATCACTAACTGATTAAGGGCGCCTTCTGAAAACATGCTTTAAAGAGCCTTTTCATGGGGCGCCTGGGTGGCTCAGTGGGTTAAAGCCTCTGCCTTCGGCTCAGGTCATGATCCCAGGGTCCTGGGATCAAGCCTTGCATCGGGCTCTCTGCTTGGCAGGGAGCCTGCTTCCTCCTCCCTCTCTCTCTGCCTGCCTCTCTGCCTCCTTGTGATCTCTATCTGTCAAATAAAATAAATAAAATCTTTAAAAAAAATAAAGAGCCTTTTCATGATTCTCAACTAGTAAATGCCATTTGTTGGAAGACCTCAGAGAGTAACTGCTCTTGAATCTTATGGGAAGGAACCTATCAGGGGCTGTTAGCAACATATAGAGCAGTGAAATTCCAAAAGGTCATGCTGGTTCATGGTTCACAACTAAAGAAATCCAGAATTCCATGCAGTTGGAAGGCTAAGGCTACTCATCCAAGACCTCAAACTGAGGATTGTAAGCTGATCTTCAAAAGCAGACAGGTGACCCAAGACCTTTGGAACAGATAACTGCTTCCACTCAATACCTCAGAGCAAGACATTTAAGAAATTACTGTTTGGTTTTTTTAATCTGCTTGCCTGTAATTGTTCCACTTCTCATTTTCTGCAGACCCCTTGTCATTACCACTAATGGCCCTTTTACTCGTTTGTTCCTTCATATTATAAGGTTAGGTTACATCAGAACATACTCAGTCTAGCACCCTTATTCGATTATCCCTACAGCAGCCACTGCCCTCAATCTTACTTACTGCTGGATACGCCATTCTTCTGCAGCCCACCCTGATAAAACCTCTGGGCCATGCAGGTTGCATCAGATGAGACCATAGGGAGTTACAGCAGATGGCATTTCCACTTGCACACACATGGACATGGATCTTACATAAATCAATGTGTGACATTGCTAGTGTCCCTCTCTCCCAGAAAAAGAACCGATTATTTCAATCTATTGATCAGACCTCAGGCGATCCTAAGTTTGATTTCAATAATCTTCATAGGGCAATGTGCCCAATACCTACGACCCGGTATCCATCTCGATAGAGATCCAAAAATGTAACCCAGTCATGTAAGCCCTAGGTTCTGACCTTATATCAAGATAGACTTCTTTGTTCCCAGATGTCTCTGCCTGTGACAGATAACCACTTCCTTTGTGGTGAGGGCCCACAGGATTCAGATTAACGCCTCAGGTACTTTCAGAATAGTATCTTAAGACTTGTCCATTAAAAAAAAAAAAAAAAAAAAGACTTGTCCATACATGAGAGACCCTAGTTATATAAATTACCAATTTTGGAAATCCAATCCAAGTATGATTTTCAACATGAGGTCTGTTCTACTATTCAGCACACTGAGGGAATTAGTGACTCATTTTTTATGTAAACGATGTGAGTAGTGTTCCCATCAGTGGGAATCATACAAATAGAAAAGACTAATAAATCTATCAGTAGCCTTGGCAGAAGTTTTAAATGACACCACTTCTGCCCTAGATGTAGTAAACATTTGTCTCAACTCATTGACACGAGTAGTGATGGACAGTCTCAATGCTCTAGATTTCCTGTTGGCTAGTCATGGTGGAATCTGTGTCATTGCTAATACTTCTTGTCCTTGGATCCATGAAACAGACAAGGGACTATGAATTGCACTTGCTTTTGTCACAGTGGCCATGATGCTGGTCTGTTTTCCAGTCTCAAATGCCTCTATGCAACTGCACTGTTCTGGATGATCACAGTGATGATATAACAATAAAAAGGTCAAGCCAGCCTCGCAGTACCACTATGAAGATGAAATGAATCTTGACGCAGTGAAGATTTGAATTTTGTGTTTTCTCCAAATTGGTCAACTTCTCAGAAGTGAGAGAAAGACCAGGGTCGAGGTGAGAGAATATGGAAATGGACAATGGCCAGACCGTATAGAAAGATAGAACTCAGACCCACAGTCTCTGGTAACCAACTCATGAATCTGTATAACCAGCCCAAGATGCCAGCCATCTAGAAGTGAAACCTGTAGGAAATCATACCATTATATCTTGCAACAATTCAGGATGCCAAAGGATGACCCCAGTAACGATGGCACTGAAGAGCCAGGACGTGATTAATAATGGACAGATTTCTTCATTTTTGTCCTTGTTTGCAACATAATACCAACGAGAGAAGGCCAGAAATGTACCCCTAACCAATCATGTAGGATGCATCTCTTCTATTTAGCCCACCTACAGCTGCCCAATCGAGGCACACCTGAAGTCTTACCTTTTTATTTTTTTAAAAACATTTTATTTATTTATTTATTTATTTGGCAGACAGAGATCACAAGTAGGCAGAGAGAGAGAGATAGGGGGAAGCAGGCTCCCCACTGAGTAGAGAGCCCGATTTGGGGCTTGATCCCAGGACCCTGGGATCATGACCTGAGCTGAAGGCAGAGGCTTTAACCCACTGAGCCACCCAGGCGCCCCAGTCTTAACCTTTTTAAGACTGGGGCTGTAAGTTTACCACTGTAAGTTTACCACTCTTCTGCCTGCCTTTGAGAATCTGTCAAAATGCAAGTGATAGATTCTGAAAACCTTGTTGCAGCAAGGGCTGAATAAACAGCCTGAGTGTTCTCATTTGATTGGTCTTCGTGTGTTTCCATAGCTCTTGGACATCTTCCTCAAAAATACTGTGTTGTAAGTTGATTTGAAATAATTTTGTCTGAGTGATTTTATAAGGATTTATTAGCAATAGTGTTAAGTTTACTTTTGCATTTCATTTTCCTTCCTAGGTTATGGACATTTTGGCAATTATCTGACAAAGAACATAATCTTATCTAAGGATCTTTCAGGGAGGCAAGTTAGAGGGTAAACTGCTTTGGAGCCTCTCCATACCAAGTATCGAAAGACGCGGTCATTTATTAATCTGAATTTTACTACCTTTTTGTCCTGCCAATGAAGAGTATCTCAGGGGCCACCTAGGAACTCTGGCATTAGGTAA